TGCTATAGGCAGAAAGCTCAACTCAAACATTTCTACTGTTTGATTTTTCAATTTTGCTGAAGTGTAAAGCACCTGATTGTAGAATCAGATTCTGAAGTTTTAAGGGAGCTCTAACTCTCAAAAAAAACATGGGAAATTAAAAGATTAAATACTCTTTCTCTAGGAAGCCTGTGGACCAATTCACATCCCACCTGATTTAAAAAAATACAGTTCCAAGTCCAATTCAAATTATATTGGTAGTAAATTTCAGTTCTTAACTGTTGTTGCTACAGCTCTACAGAACAGGCTTCATTTGCTGCTTTCTGATACCCCTGCTAATGCTGGTTCCAGGAAAACTGCATTGGAAAATATTTTTCACTTCTGAATTGGTTACTAGCTACCAAACAATCAGGAGAATCCAAACTGAGATCAAATCAACACAGGACTTGAAAGCTTGTTGGTAAAACACACATTCCCAGCCACTTATATAATTCCTCAAACTCTTCCTTTAAAGACATAAAGAGTTCTGTCACTGACTCTTTGGGGTTTGTGTTTTGTGTGTTTGTTTAGGAGAAGAAACTTATTTTACCTTGATCCTTGACCAAGAAATTTGTAGTAACAAGAGGTGGGACCTGCCCTCTTACTCCAGTGACAAACGGTTCTGACCCACGGTTACTTCTGTCATCTTCAATCACTTGAATCTATGATAGAAAACACCACATTAATATTTGGAGGCTTGATTTCAAAATACTGTAAAAGACAAAATTTATATCTGTAAGGCAGTGAAAAGGGGACCTGAGGCAAACATTACTATCTCTAAAAATAAGAAGTCTAAAGCAAGTAAGTTTTGTCAAGCAGTCACCTCTCAGTTTGATTTCAAATAGCACTTAATGACCAACAATAAATTACAAGTTGCAAATAGTATTTCTCCCCAAGTATTTTTAATAGTAGCATACTTTGTGTTTCATGGCCTGATCTGAACTCATAAAAGCCACAGGACACGAAAGGAATTTTTGGTAGTATTCCCCTGTATAACGGTCCTATCGAAATTAAAATTAGAACATTCTGTAAGCCTCAGGATTAAGTTCTACAGATAACCTGGCTTTTCCTTTCTGTTATGTTCCCACAATTTTCATAGTATGCATTTATTTCTAACCACTGTAACTCTGACCTAAAGACAGATGCTTGCAAGCTCAGGTGGGAGTCTTCATTACTCTGTGGTGCTCAAGAGTTTGCGATTCGAATTCCGGGGATGTGCAAAGTGAAGTTTCAATAGACTTGTCAATGAATCAAGCTTAAACTTCAAAGCCAGTAAAAATCTTAAATTTCTTAGTATTTCAAATTCTTCATTAATGCAAATACGCTTAAGATAATAGAAATGCATTAAGCAGTTTTACTTGACTAAAATATCCACTAACCTTCGCATAAGAACAGAAAATTGTAGTTATACACAGTTTTAACTTCATTTTCATACTGGTGCCTGATTGAAAGCATTAAAGCTAGCCATCATTCTTCTGATCTTATTTTGCCACCAAACACACATGCCTTTGCTTAGAGCTAGTTGTGAAATGCAGAAGTTTGCATGGCAGAACTTCTACCCTCTCACTAAGAATTCCAAATTGCCAGCAGAAAACTTCCCATAGCATCAGACAGTGACTACTCTAAGATAAATCTAGTCCCGATTCAAAAGTCTACAGACTGACTAACGTTGGTGATCTCACCAGTGATACCTGTTGTATGACCACCTTTGGCTAAATGAGGAAGAAGTGATACAAGGGTAACGGAGAGTCAAATGTGGGTTTTTTCTTCCAATCCAAAAGGTAGCTGCTTTTTTTCTTTCTTTAGGTAAGATTCTCTACACATAAACATTAAATTTTCAAATTCAAAATTTAATGATTATGCATGATCACAGATAATGAGAGAATGTTTATAGCTCCCCATGCTTCATATTAATCTACTAGGAGATTTATATTGGGAATGAACATCAAAATAAAACAGTTCATCTGCAATTTTAGAATGTCTAAGCATTACCACACACAGTACTGGTACATCACCAAGAACAGTAATCAAATTCTGCTCAAAACTGGTAGAAAACATGGCTACAAAGGCTCATGCTGTGCATATGTTAACACGAGACACGTTGTATGGACAATTATACTGATGGCTTACATTGATAATGCCAGCTGGAATCTAATGGGGGAGATATTCTAAAGATCAGACAAAGTGAAGGGGAGACATTCTTCATGATCTGTTTCTAAAACAGTCTGCTTTCTATTGCCTCACCATTTACCATGGGAGAGAAGATTTTAACAACCTCTTGTGGTGTAATGTTACTCATTTTGATAAGGCAAGCAGAAGACAGCAAGGAAAGGGTAAAGGATTAATGACGGAGCGTTAGTGAGGTGAAGTTCAGGTTCCATGCACAGATCATCACAAACACGCAGACTACAATTGACATATATAGAGCACTTACTGGACTAGGAATTGCATCTGGGTCTATTCTGTGCCTGGGTTTCTGCTGGGGTGGCAGCTCATTAAGTTGCTTTTTTTAAAAAAAAAATAAAAAGAGTGCCACAAAAAAAAAAAAAGAAAGGAGAAAGAAAAAAAGAGAAGAGAATAATAAACCAAAAAGTAACAGTGTTACTTCTCTCTACCCAAACCTGTAGCACTGGAATTAGATACATTTGGACATTGGTTCATGCAACAGGAAACATCAGCTTCTGCAGCGTACACTGATCCCAAAACCAGCCTTGCCAGGATATTGGGCTTGGGCTCTGAACACATTGCTAACAGAGGCAGTGGCTCACGTGCTCATTTTGGTTAGAAATTGGGGATTTATGCTTTAAGAACATGCTAAAATGAAGGCAACTGACACAAGCCATTTGAGATCTCATTTAGTGGAACAGAAGAGAAGCAGACAAGCAATTAAAGACCTCTTATATTCTATGAAAAAAATATGGTCGTAAACCTTACATAAACCTGGAGTCTAAACACATAATCTTTTTTGAATAGCAATAACTTCTGAACAGCACCAGTCCAGATCTAACAATGCAACTCAAGACTAAATTATTTTTATAGTTTTCAAGCAAACTGATTGTAAGACTGCCCTGGAAAGGTTTCCTGTTATCAGATGACTGTGGCCTTCTGAGACAATAACAGAACAGCAGCACCAGCAGTGGAAGGTACAGCACAGTAGACTAGTGGCAGTAACATTGCTAGGCTTAATATTACTCATCATTGCTAACCATTACATATCACTGCTCCTCCTTTCTCAAAACCTCCACTCTGAAAGACAATCCTAATTTGAGAGGTTGTCCATATTCAACTGAGGTAGTGCCATGACTTAATGACCCAAAAAACCGCTAACTAGCTTTTTGAAAGATTATAGCAAAAGAGAAAGGAAGAGCACTACAGTCATCTCCTATTAGCCATACTTTAAACATGTATCATACAGTTCACAGATTGTCACCTCAAAACATGAAATTAGTTCAGCTTGGAAAGTCATTAAGCGAGAACCCAGAAATGGAGAAATATAGTTAATCAAAGCCCTCAAGGATTCTCAAAATGTAACATAGTACAGAAAAGACCTGAGGAATCAGAGTATTGATTTGCACGTTCACCTCCTTTCTTTAGTCACCATGAAAAATACTGCTTCTGGGCTTATTCATAATGAAAGACTGAAGCTGGATACACAAGAGAAAAGTAAACAGGGAAACAGACTGATGTTCTTTGGAACGAGAAACCTGTTTTCAGCTTTGGTCTTTGTCAGTTCTGTTTTATACAAAGACACTATGGAAGAGTTCACACTGGTAAGAACAAAGTAAGCTTACAGGGCTAGGAATGGAATCCGGATCCAAGCGTTTTGGTGGAGGTGGTGGACCAGGTTGATTTCCATAATTTGGAGTTCCTGGATAGGCTCCTCCATAGTTTGGCTGGGGACCTCTCACCTGCCCAAAGGAACCTTACAAGAAAAGGACAGCAAAATCAAACAGTGGCTACACTAGGCGTTTCCCCATTAGGCACTTCCCACTTTTTCTGTCATCATCAAAACATAAGAAAAAGGAAAGTCACATGCTTTTCAGTTAATTAGGATTAAACATATTTGTCTATCACAGTGTTTCTGCCTAGACCTGTACATCTCTACCAATGATCCAATAAACTGATGGATACTGTCCTCCTTAAAACCAGACCTAAGGAAACACAAGTTTTTAGACTAACGTTAACTATTTTTAGGATAATATGATTACAATACACATTAAGATCATGCACTATACAAATTTAAGTTAAATTGCAGAAGTGCCTAATAGAAAGTCCACACAGAACAGCCAAATAAGGAATACGGGGATGACCCGTAATTCCTCAACTAAAGGTATGCAAGGAGTTCTCTCGGGCAGTTTTGATTTGTCTGAAATTACAGACATAGGTTAATGTGTGATTATCTCTTTTGTTTTGTAACTAGCTGAAGTTATTTCATATTATTTCAGACAATTTCAGTCAGTGATGGAATAACATCATGATTTACTCCATTAGTGTTTTTACAGTTCTTAGCAATCTGGACTGATATTTTTAAGTAATTTATCTGGCCAGCTGTGCAAAGCTGCATGGGGGACAGTATTCTCAATCCCAACATTTGCACATGATTACTCTATCCTAGCTATCCATAAATGTTATTGATTAAAAATCAGCCAAAACTGTTTTGTAATTCAGAAAGCTTAACTAATATTACTTCTAAGCACAACTAAAATGTGAAAGGTTCTACAAGGAGAAAAATACAGTGTTGTGAACTATAGAACAAGTAGCAATTCCTTTTCAACTTTTAACAATTCCTGTCGTATACACTGTATACTTAGACTGGCCACAAATTTTAAAATAAAAGATAACAAGGCTTTTCAGGATTTCAAATCTCTACTTTTGAACAGATTATGTTACAGACATCAAATTAAAGTTCATAATAAAATTTTGATCACAAGTTCTTGTAGTATTATGGCACTAATCACTAAACCACTTTTTGGCCAAGTAAGCTAGTATTCCTTTAGTTACATTAAGCTGATTAAAACCTGAATGACAAATATCTTAGAGTGACACAGCCTATCTTGGATTTGTCCTTCAGACACGAACACAGGGAAACAAGAGGGAAGCTCTGAAGTGCAGTCAGGAGCCCACTAGTAACAAACCTGAAATCCAGGTCTCAGTTTGCAGCACTCAGAGAACACACGTAACTTAGAATTCCTATACTAGGAATACTCACCATTCTGCTGCATTTGGTATCCTGGCTGAGGAGGATGAGTGGGAGGAGGTGGTCCATGTAGGCCACTCATGGGAGGTCCAGGGTGCGGCCCTGACAGAGCTGATGGAGGTGGTGGTGAGGATACATGATTAGGCTGGGAAGTTGGTGGTCTAGCAACTGTCTGCCCAGGCAGTGGTGGGCCTGACATGGCAGGTGGCCTTGGGGCACCTGTAGTAGGAGGGTAAGAGGAAGGTCCAATCCCTGTAGAAGAGGGAGGTGGGGCAAAACCAGGGACTTGAGTTGATATTGGTTGACCAGGAAACAGAGGCTGTGCCAAAGGAAGACCCTGAGACACACTGGTAGGAGGCGGTCCTTGGCTCGAAGTGTAAGGTGTGTAGAGACCAGATCCTGTTGCACTAAAGCTTCCTGAGACTGGGGGAACCGATGTTGGGGTACCTGATAAGAAGAAAAGGAGATACAGCATCATTTTCTTCTATCCTCAATACAACTAAGATGCAAGTGAAACCCATTTGTTCTAGATCATCTAAACAGGTCTACCACTTTCTCATCTTCAGATGGACTTATGGATGGACAATAGAGACAAACCTTAAGTGAACACCCTCCTAATTGATCTGAGTGCCAAAACTGAGTCTGAGACTATTTTACACAATCAGAATACCTTTCAGGATTCTGGGCCAGAAAAAAAGGGGCAAAGCCGGGAACATGCAAAACAAGAACCACCACAAGTCTGTCTACTGATTTCTTGAATTGAAATAAATTTGTATCTTAAACTCCAAACTCCAAAAGTTGGAGCCTGTAGTTCAAGGATGGTTTTCAGCTTCATGGTTTTAACAGCATGGAACTAGGATCTTCTGTATTTACCACTTTACTATTTACAAAGATAATTTTAGACAAACATATTGCCAAAAGGCTGGAGAAATCTGCATCCCCTACTCCTCATTTTTCCTACAAAGTCATTAGAGCATAAGAGATGTTTGTCAAAAAGTACTTTGCCAAAACAATTATCAAAAACACCCCAACAAAGCATAGTCAGACCAACTTACGCATACTGAAGACAAATCTCTAGTCTTCAATTAAAAAATAAAAAGCCCTGTAATCTACAGCAGTGGGACTGTAGATCTAATACAATAGAACAAAATATCTAAATTCAGTTTATACTGTTTGAATAAGTTTCTTTTCAACTTCCAGCAGAACCCTTCACAGAATCATTCAAAGTCATCTCAGCCCTTTCTGATTTACTTTTCCTTTCTTTTTTTTTTTTTTTTGACTGGGCTGGTGCACAAGTGGCAAGACATGTAGACTCTACAACAGCTTACTTAGGGATAGGCTGGTTTTGTGTTTCACAACAAGATTCACCCAGTTGAGGAGAAATATTGTTACTCTCTTTTCTTACTCATGTCCTGCAGTACTTCAGAACTGAGACTATTGTAGGGGGCAGTGCAGGTTTTCCCCAATGGTGACCCTATTAGTCAAGCAAACTACTGTTTACTATGGCAGATGTCATCACCCCAAGAATTCCTGTCACCATATGGTAATGAATCAGTGACCAGAGCAAATCTTTTTTTGAAATTACTAGCCTAAATGAAAAGCAATAGCATATTTCTGTAGCCAGGAAACCTTACCATAGCCCAGTCCAGCTGGGGGAGGAGCAGAAGCTGTAGTACTGCCAATTGTCATCCCTGCCATGTGATTGCTGAGCTGCTGTACACTGGCTGGGGGGGGACCATATTGCTGGAACGTAGATGTCTGGCTGACAGGTGTGGGTGCTGGGCCTGGCAGAAACGACTGAGAAGCAGGTGGCCTGAGAAGAAAGATGAAAAACTTCACTTGATTCCCCACTACACAAGCAGGTATAATTCTCTGTGCCTTTTAAAATTGTTCTAGCACATAAACACTAGCTGGGTCTTAATTATTTACACGAAGCACTGTAGCTCAGTTTCAGAAAAATAATTACAGATCCTACATGGATCTCAATCTCTTTCATCAAAAAATTCTATTAGTTCTTAAAACACAAATTCTATGTGTATAGCATTTTTTTTTGTTAATTCCGTCTTAGTCATTGCAACAAATCAGAAATACTGCAACAGAGTCTACAGAGTGAGCAACAGTAATGCCTGCACAGCTATGTAAGAATGCTGTTGCCCAAAGGATTTGGACTCTTCAGCTGACAACACTGAGCTTAACCAGAAAGAAACAAAAAACAACCACCTTCCCCCATAACCAGTAATCAGAACGAAGCAGTGATGACCGTTGCCATTTCACCACAGAGGTAATGGCAATATCTTTCTGGAGAAGATGCCCAAGAGCTTTAAATGAAGATACCTCAGGGATCCATAACACATAGAAAAGGACCCAGAACAAATACTAAGGAACTACTCAGTAATGACAGACAGCAACATGCCCCAGATGGAGATCAATACACACAGCCAAGGAACCAAATACTACGGCTCTGTGGATGTAATTCTTTTAAAACAAGACAGATTATGTGAATCAAAATTCCTTATGGGAAAATGACTAACATAAACAAAGTCTTTCGAGGAGAAGTGGTTTTGATCAGTCACTGACATCTGTTCATATCCTTCCAGAAGTTTTTCATCTCCACTGATTATTATTGTCTAACAAATACCCCTATGGCAAAACGTGGTTCCAAAACAATAAAGAACCATAAAAAAAGTCAATTTCCACCACAGGAAAAACTAAGTATTTAGTTTGTTCTAGATCCTAAAAGGTCTAGACCTAGCATAGGTCTACCAAGGCAGGCCCTTGCTATGATTTGCTCTTCTTGTATGTACCTCTGCATCGGGGCTGCTGAGGCTGGAATCCCATTCTGCACATCCCCGTGTCCAAACTGACTGTATGCCAGGTGTCCAGAAGGAAGAGATGCTCCAGAGGCTGGAGGGGGAGCTCCAGACGTTGGAGGGGCTCTTAATGAACCTAGTGACATACGGGGGGGAATTTTAAAAAAATCACAAATTACTCACAGAAACAAGGGTGTGAACCAACTACCACGAGAAATCCAGGAAATAAAAAAACCCGCGCAGAAACAGTTCAGCAGTAGACAAACTGATGTATCAATACTCCACAAGCAACAATTTACACAACTATATTAGAAGTAGCAAAACAAAACTGAAAGCGTACATATTTTTAGCCAGTGTCACTAGTGCACACAGATCAAGTAGAAAATATGTACTGTGGAGTGTCTTCAAAAGATAATTTAATCTTCTGATGAAGAAAAAACATTATCTTGTTAGTACGGTATTAAATTCTTCCCCCTCCAAGTCCAATTATTTTTATCCAGACCAAGGAGAGTATTCACATGGAACCTAATGTTCATTACAGGTCAGTTTTCCCTACTTGAAAGGTAAGCAGGTTATGTGAGTAGATACAGTTTCCAAATATTACATCCAACTAACTGCTTTTATGTATAACATAATGGGGGCCACCACAGACTGTTCTTCCCAACCTGTCAAGGTTGGAAGCTAACACAAATGCTTTCTCATCTTCAGACTGAGCTGGTTCAGTCACAGCCCAAACATATTTGCCTCAGAAACAAGTCTTCACACTTTAAACAGACAGCACAATCCTGGATACAATACCAGCAGACCAACTGCAGTCTCTACTTCCAAAAAGAGAATATAAACTTCTATTTTAATCATATTGTGTTAAAAATGTTGTTAATTAGAACAACCACATGATCATGCTTGCTAACTGCAAGGGAACATATTTCATGTATAGGGTATGGTTAAATACAGACGACTAGAGTAAACTGCCCCATGCGACCAGGGCAGCACACACACACTGTTGTGTCTCTCTGACAGTGACTGCCATGACACGTTTAAAGAGGATTCTCAACCTTCTTGTGATGAACCATTATGAAATAGGAAATAGGAGAAGCCATTTCTCAATTCTACAACCTAATTTATACACCAAAGCATGAGGTTTCAACACACATATATTTTTATCTTATCTGCTACACGTAATTCTTCATAAGCTTGTGGATGTAAACTAAAGTAAGGAATTAACTAGACCTTATATAAATAACCAGTAATTTCTTGGGGCTTTTTTCTTTATTACTAAACCTCCTCCTGTTCTTCATTAGGACTTAGGACTTAATTATTTCCAGAGACATTTATTATCTTTATATACCTTCACCTCATTAAATCTTGTCTTTTCTAAACTACTGTTACGGGATCTTTGTCTTAGTGTTCCTCTGGCTAAGCATTTCCCGATCTCTAATTATTTGTATGTTGTGTGGTATTTCTATTTCTGAATGTTCTTTGTGATACCTTTTCAGTTAATTGGATACACTTTCATCTATTTTGGAATCTCTTTCCTTTGACAGTACATGTAAACTGTTTGACATTGTTATCTTTTGTCTTTGAAAGCATATTTAATCCAATTTCTGGAGTGATCCTACACTTTTTTTTTTTTTAACATTAATTTTTTCCTCCTCAACTTTAACAAGCATACAATTTGACAAATACATGCTTACTTCAGAAAAAGCTTCTGAAGTCTTTTTTTTCTAGTTCTCATCACAAAAATACTTCTGTAACCATCACCACAGCCAATGAAAAAAATTCACTTGAACAGGTATGAATATCTAGTGGTTTAATAGCTTAAGATTAATTACTGTTGAGGAATCCTGCAGCTCCCCTTCAACATCTTTGAGATATTGTTCTTACTCATCATAGACCTCAAAATGGAAGTAGATTACAGCAAAATGGGAAACCCCTGTGATTTTACTCAAATCCCCAAGACTATAAGGTCTTGGCCCAGTTCTGACTCCTTACTCTTCTAAACAAATTGACACCGCTAGAAATAGCTCTTCCAAAATACCATTAGTTGGAAAGAAGGAAAAATACGATGTGATTTCTTGCAGTGTTTCTAATTCTTACATCTTGATTGCTAGCTTTGCAAAAGTATTTCCTTCTTCAAGTCACAGCTTTTGGAATCATAATTATGCCTAATGTATATTTGGTTTCTATGCTATAGCCAAGGAAGCTAAAAACTTCTTTTTCCCCTTAAACGAAATCTCATGACTTCCAATAACAACCCCTTAGTGCTTAGGGAGATTTTTCATTTCTTCATTGCAATGCTATCATTTTAGACCACAAGTTTTAGTACTCTCTCAAGTGGGAGACTACATTCTTTTAAGCTAAGGATTCTCCCTGACAGAACCTGAACAGGCCAATTCAGGTTTTGAAATCAGTCTTCAGAAAATATTAATCACAAGTCAGGTTTTATCTATGAATCTGCAGGCACAAGGGATTTCTACTAGGATTATTTCTTCACATCCTCTTCATGTTTCTGCAGTGCTGGCTACAAACAGATTGGGAAGTGTCCCACGCACCTCTGCCTGAATAATCAGGTACCCACATCTTTGAGATAAATATCGATATTAAGTGGGAACCTGGCACAGAAGCAGCAGCACAGCACAAACACTCCCACAGAAAGGTCACCATTTACCTATGAAATTAGGTGCAAGAGAAGAAGTGTCAGAGTTGAGAGATACAGGAGAGCCCTTCGAAGAGAACCCCAAGGAAGGAAAGTAACCTGGAAAGACAGAATACACCAGTAAATCAAGCCTGAGAGAAAGCACCAAGAGACAGCGTTTCCAATGCTGAGACATCACATTTACCACATTATTCCTTAAGCTATACTCCCTCTCACTGTTCTACCATGCATAACATATTACCAACATAGTTCATACATTAATGTTAATACAAGTATTAATAGTATCATAAACAGAGTCTATGTAAAACAACCCAGCAGCAGCCTAATCGTTACTGGTATTCAGATAATTGTGTTTGCACTTTCAACTGCATGATGTCATCAGAAGGAAACCAATGAACTGACTGAAAGACTAGTGCAAAATTGTCCCACCTCTTTTAACATTCTCATAGCAAGCAGCAGCTATTTTCAGCTAGCACCACCATACTCCACTTCTCATCCCAAGCAAGACTAGCATCACTGCCACAGCATTCCCATGTTTCCATTAGTTAGAGCTAGGGTTTGTCACATAAATCAGATGCAAAAGATTTCCTGACTGAGGATGGCACCTGCTCCCAACACTTCTCCACGCAGTCTTTCAAGCAATTTTACTGTTATTTTTAAAATAAATCCCTAAGAAATTCTTTGAGATCACAAAGTAACATTGGCAGTTCTCCTTTTACCCCTCAGTGTTCACTAAATCCCTGTCACTCTAGTGCCTCTGAAATTAGTTCTCTTTCCTCTACATTATGCATCTACAACAGGTCTTGCTACAAGGCCTGCAATAAATATGACATGTTGGAGATAGGTATAGAAAGGATAACTGTCACTATCTTCACTATCACCTGTCTGCTCTTTAATAATGCACTGTTTGTTTGCCACTCTCTTCCACCCAAAAGTCATATTCAGCAGTGACCAAGAGGTCAACTTCTGGCTGTTGTGCTAGTGCTTTGAATTTTACATTCCTTCCGTCTAAAGTCAGGAATCCTGGATGTACAGGAGCAGGTCCAAAATGTACAACTGACAACTGAGATTTCCTTAATACCGTCTGCTATTTCTAGGAAGAACAGTCTCACAAGAAAAGATGGAAAAGAAATCTCCAGAAACCACGGGTGGCCTTTGCCTGACGTATCAATAAAGTACATGGGATACTACTTAAGAGTAGTGCAATACATTCCTATTGTCCAAACGAGACGACTTTGTTGCCATCAGTGTTATACTACCTTTCAATCATTATTGGAACAAATAAAATCTGCATTTTTAATCTGTACAAGTTCATATTCCTGTTATCAAGATTTCTAGGTGCGTCCTTACTGAGCTGTCACAAACCACATTTCTGTGGTTCACAAATTAAAAAAGGCAAACCAGAAATAATTCAGAAGGAAAAAAGCAATTCTCTTAAAAAGAAATGCTTTTCAGACTTGTGAAGTCTGAAAGTTCTTGAAGTATCTGATGGAAGATGCTCATCAGTTTCTGTTCACAAATATCCTAAACATTCTTCACACTGCTAACAGCCAAATCCTGTTTTCTATAAATAGCTGCACTGATGAAACTTTTCCCACAAATCTGTAGGAATCTCTGTCCTTCTTGAATCTTCTTCTCTCCCTCACTGAAACAAGTCCAGTTTCTCCTCACTCCTTCCATGGGACAGGAAACACTAGTTAGTCAATAGCTACATTGAGCAGCCAAGCAGAGCACTCAATGGCTGAGCTCTGCCTCTGTCTTCCCAGGAAGCAGGGCTTCTTTCCTCTGCCCAGTGCTGATTTTCATTGCTTTTATAGGAATTTAAACCCTCTGTGAAATTAGTTCAAAACACAGAGATTAAAAGTGCTGTTGGAAGAGATTTATTGAGAAGAGGGGAGGAAGAGGATTAAGGAAAGAAAAGGAAGATTGAGCAACTGAATAACTCATTCTTCAGCACACCACACTAACTCTTCTTCTACTCCACTACCCTGCTAACTCCAGACAAAAAACCCAACAGGGCAATTATTCAGCTCCTGAATTTCAGTCTCACACTTCTGTTAGTTTCAAGAAAACTAGAGGCACTTCAATTGTTCTACCCTTCTCACTGAGTTTGGTTTAAAATTCAAGAAGTTGCAAAAAATTCAAGATGTACTTGGAGGGGAGAATGATATAGAGACCATCAGCATGATTATCATATTCCTCATTTCTTTAGAGTACCAACCTGAAATTTAAACAAACATTTCAGAGTGGAAGTTCATGTTGTGCTTATCTCAGCAGAATTGAATTCATACACATGATTTTGAAAGGCAGAAATACTTCTACTCAAAGCAATTGTATTTTCTCCTCTACATTTCAGATGTTAAAGTCACTACGAATCTCCCAAAACAATTCAGGTACCTGGAAACAAAGACTCCTAAAGGTCTTTAATAATTTTAAGTTAGCCTTTCTTTTGAAAACAGGAAAAACAAAAGTTAAACTACTCTGCCTTTTTTTTTTTTTAAAAAAAACCAAACAAAACCAATGAGCGCTATGGTCCTGCAGAACCAGAGAAAATCTGGAACACATTGGCTTGCCACATGTCCACAAACTTTCTACTGATTTTAAAGGCATTAGAGAAAATATCTCCAAATACACTTTCTGCCTAGAGTGGTATGTCTTAATCTTCCAGGATGGAGTGCAGGCCTTTCTACGTAATAATGCAGGGCAGTCTCAATTATAAATCTGTTACAGTCCTTAACTGCTGCCCCTCAACATAATCTCATCAAGAAGATTGACCTAGTCAGGTGCTTCAGTACCATGGGGACAGGGACATACAGAAATAAGCAGGCTATGCTTCTCAACATGTTAGTTTTATGAGTTATTAAAAGAAGAGTAAGCCCTAGTAAAATGGAAGAATGACAGAACAATAACCTCAGAACATACAAGATCAACATGATTATTAACATCATGTAAGCTACATACAGAAGAAAAGGTAATTGCCACCACAAAATAAAGACTAACAATAGGAAGTATACAGAAAAAATTCCATGCACACAACAATTCACAGGTTATCAACCAACAAGTTTTGACAGATAAGTACCTTGTGGAGGGACTGGCTGTTGATATCCTGGCATCGGACCATTATAAGCTCCATACTGCGATTGAGGAATCCCTGGCAACGGCTGTCCTCCGTAGGCAGGCTGCTGGTATCCCTGATATCCAGGCTGAGGTTGCCCATAAGGAGGCCCTGTGTGAGCTTGCTGGTTTACACTCATTGTGTTCACATCCCCAAACTAATCTCACCTGCAAAAAGTGGTGGGGGGGAAATGGCTTTTAGCAGACATAAAACCAAACTGGCTAACTTCCATACTGTTTTCAAAGAAATGAGAGCTCCTGAGATAATAGGGAAGGTAAAACATGAATGGTAATTTACTCTTGCACAGCAATTTTTTCAAGTAAAGTAAATGCTTCATCAGAGCTAGTTACAAAACAGTATTTTCAGAAACTATGTTTTCTAATCAACTTATTCACTGCTTCATCCTGGTTAGACTTGTGATCATCATCTTAGACAAAAATACCATAGCCATTCCATAGCAGATGATTATCAAGCTTTCTGAGACACCTTAAGATCTACTTCCACCTCACAGAACATTAGACCAACAGAAAACAGATTTCGTGACATAGACGAGAGATTCCTTAACATAACAATTCAATAACACTGAACAAGTTCAGCTTCCATCTCTAAGTTAGTCTACTTGATCATGTTTCCTTGCTACAAGTCACTTCACCATCCATAAAGGCTGCTTCTTGAAGTATTTGATAGAATCCAGAACACAACCAATTTAGAGGGTTTGGGCTTTTCTTTTTTTTTTTTTTTTAAACAATAGATGACTTAAAGTCCTTGTTATGTACATAAATTTCAGAACAAAGACATTCCAAAAGTAGCACGTTCACCTAAGAAAGACGTGCAAAATTGAACAGCATCACAGGCAAAGATGTCATTAAAGGAGTTACACAAAAGCGTTAGACCTGAAACAGATTATCAGAGACAGCAGAGAAGTTTCTTAGCAAAGTTATGCAAGAAATCTTGCTTAACAAAGAGATTCCAAATTCCTCTGACTAACTGTATAGAGATACTGACTAACTTCATAAAGAGAAAAACAGAAATGGCATTGGGAGACCCCAAACCAGGCAGGCAATTCTTACAATACCACAGTTATCAAGCAGGCAGATAAGCCACAGAGCCCTTGAGTTGTGGAGAGTCAAGGAGATGACTTCATGGGCAGGAGATTCTCTTGTGGTCTACTTCTCAAGGATATTTTCCATCCCCTGTACTCCTCTGGACACTCCATATGTCACTGTTACCCTCTTCAGCTAAGAATATCTACACTAACACTGTAAAGAAATGTGTGTTTAGAGCAATTTAATTTGCTACTATGCTACTAAAAAACTCCAGTTCATATAAAAACACAAAGTTAAGGTAGAGGAAATAACTAATGTTGACCTCATATTTTGCTCCAAACCCTCTGATGAACTTGTGCATTAAAGATACATAGCTAATCTTAACACAGAGGAGAGGCACAGCTGCAACAGTCACCAGCCAGTTGAGGCAAATCCCAACAAGGAATCTATAGCTTAACTCAAGCGGATGACAAACATATGAGCTGTTTTGCCTATAAATTGATCACAGTATGCCAACCAATGCTAAGGTTGGTTCTTCACATTACCAAAAACATGATCTCAAAGAATTATTTCAACAACTGACACCACAGTTGTATAGCAAAGGTACTAAAATAACTACAGCTCTGTAAGAATCATCCACATAAAAAGAAATTCTTTCAGATCCTTATATATAATAAAGGGAAAATACATGTATCACAATCAAGCAACCTATTTACAGAAGAAAGCTAGCGTAATACATACATACTACATTTAACCTCCTACAGCTAATAAACATGACAAATGTAAATAGTAGGAATGCTAATGCTTACTCTGAAATTAAACATTATATGAAAGGAAATAAATGTTTTATATTTTTATGTAAGTTTTCTATTTTTATTCTTCAATCTGTATAAAGGTAATGATAGTGCTTTTGTTTAAAAAAATAACATCATATATTTGAAGGTAATTTACTCTTGAAAGTAACATGTAATGTCACTTGCAACAGCTTACAACAGAATTTTTTATTAGCCTGCAGTGTTTTTAAACATGATTACACATGACAAACATGACAGCAAAAGAGTCATTTCTAAAGATTCTGGTTTCCCGCACCACCTTTGACTTAGTTCTGCAGAACAGTCTAACCTGAGCAGCCATGCAGACAGGAAATCTGGACTTTGGGACCTGCTCCCTTCCCAAGTTCCCCTGAAGGTTAACCTCTTCCTCTCCAGGTAGGCAACCAGTATCAGCACATTGCAATCACAGACCTACCCCCAACCACCACCTGTTCAGCGCAAACAGTAAAGCAGGAGAGTTCCTGCTGCAAAGGTGGAGTTTAAGGGCGAGAAGACTGCTCTACCCACACATCCTGGAACCTCTGGGCAGGGCTTTCTGCCAAGGAAGAAGGGCTGCCTTCTCTTCTTCCTGCCCCTGACTACTGCTTATTGGATTGTGCATGAGCAACTTGGCTTCCAGTCACAGCTCCTACAAACAGGTCCTTCCTCCAGGAAGAGCTTCAAGCAAAGTAGCAGCATCCTGCAGGACACCTCCTGAGCTATAATCGCTAAGACACTCTTCACAAGTTACACCTACAGAAATCCCTGAACAGATCTAATGCTTGAAGAAGAAATACTACAGGGCAGAAGATGAATCTTTCATGCTTTTTAGCTTTATTTTTAAAGCATGATAGAGCAAGAACTCAAGCATGTACCTTGCAAACCACCTCTGACTTACTGTTGTGATGTTACCTGATGATCTTTTCTCTTTTCAGACTTCCCTCCCCTCCCTCATATGAGTATCACTATTTCCCGCTTGAGCAGGTAATATCTGTTGGCTTCTTGCTCTTTCTGCAATAATACAGAAACCAAGAGTTAAGTTCATTTAATGCAAGTCTTACAGAGGAAAAGAGTTTTGAGATAATTTCCTGCACTTTTAATGGAAAAAGTAGCTACACAAAGGAGATGGTTCTAACTCAGTGTCCCAACTGAGAGAAAGGTAGATATACCTCAGACCTTCTGCTAGCCCATGTGGCAGCCAGCACAGGCTAATCTTCACCACAGCACAAGCTGATGCTTGCTCTATACTGGCAGAGGGTCAAGGAGGGAGCTGGAAAGAAGGAGGAAGACTCAAGAACAAGCCCAGTGTTGAAGCTGGGGATAAGGCTGCTTCATTATTTCGGTTGCTCGACTTGCTCTAAGCGTAAGGCTAGTGGCATGCTTGCTCATCACTGATGTGGAATACCATAAAGGGCAGGGCCAAGAGTATCTACCTCTGAGAGGGCAGGAGGCAGTTATCACTGAATGAGTCCATCTTCCTTCTCCCCCAGTAAGAGTCATTTGAATCAAACAGCATTCATTTTCTCTCCCGTCAAAAAAATATATATGCACATTAGAACCTGGTCAGTTGAAGAGATATGGGGAAAGGGAGAATTCTATGCTCTCTGTCTTAGGACGTGAAGGAAAAAAAAAAAAAAAAAAAAAAAAAAAAAAAATCACAGAAAGAATGAAATACATACACCAGATAGGGAGAAATGGTGACAACAGGCTGTTTCACTTGATAAAATTACCAAGGATATTCCTTTGCATGTAGTAACACATTACCAAAACAGCCAGACGTAGTATTAAAACCTGCTGTCGAACATCATATTACTACTCAGCAGTTACAATACACAAAGGTCAAATAAGCAGCACTCACGCTATTGGGAAAATACTATGACAACAAGTGGTCACTACCATGAATAACAATTTTCTTGCAAAGCATGAAGCAGTCACCCTATGCTGTTTTCTGTTCCTCTGTATAAAGACAGATGATATGGAAGTTTTGGTCTAAATAGTTACACAGCTAAAATTTGTGCTGGAAAGCTGTCATACAAGACAGACAACCAGTGCTGATCAGCAATGAACTGATGGGAGAAAAATACACAATAATACTGGACGGGGTGGGGCACAAATCTTTTAAGTTTCACAATGGTTTCCAGATTCTATAGTATCCAAAGCAAACTACAGCACAGCTTTTATGGCTCGATTTTTAAAAAAAGCCCTAGTGATTCATACGAGCTTGTTTCAATCAGCAAATCTCCCAAATCACTGAAAACTGCATATTCATCATTTTTATGGTCTGCATTCACTGTTAATTCCCTTTTGAAACCAAAAAGCTTGATCTCATCAGTTCTTGATTGCTTTCTAAAGGAAACGCATACAACAAAATTACTTCCTTCAGAAAGATGCTAGTGCCTTTTTTACTGGTCCCAATGAAATAAAAGCCTTGTTGGCTTCAACTGGCGGAGACACTGACTCTTAAAAAAAAAAAAAAATAAATAAAGACGATGACAGCCACACGGCCTCCTATATTATGCTGAAACTGAAGAAAATATGTCTACTTAATTTCTGAACACAAAAATCAAAGCCATTTACAAATGATGGGACAGAAGGGGACAACCAGCATCCTCAGAGTCCAATTCAGAATATTACCTACAGTGCTTTCAAGCTTCCATTCTGCAACTTTCTGAAGAAGTAGCAAAGTTATGCTATTCTTATAAAGATCCAGACTCTGGAGCTAAGAACACTCTTCTGAAAAGCAGATGTCCTTGCTTTTGTTTCACCGACAGGTTGACTAGGTCCTCTACCAGCACTCATGAAACACTTGTTTCTTTTCAGATACAAGAAACTCCTGTTTTGTTTTTCTACAGAAAATCCTGGAAGAGAAGCTCATATCCTGGAAGTCAGAGACTGGCAACTGATCTGGAAGCACTCAGGCTATTATAACAAATGCCTCCTGTACATTTGTCCAAATGAATCCAAACAGCCCCACTGGAACGGACCCTCCAATTTTGTTGTATTTTTGTGGTGCTCTGTCTTTCCACTTGGGCAGATTTTCAACTTGTCACACCATAGGTAATATTTTCTTCATCTATGCATTTTGAGTCACTGCCAGAAATATCTGTTTTAACAGTTCATGAGAGGGATAAGACACACAGTTTTCAAAATTAAACTTTACAACTGAGCATCCGTGAAAGTCCAGAAGCCACCATATTTTCACTGAAGACACTTCCAGGAGGAGAATAAAGGATAGATTAGCTGCTAAAACTTCCTGACACAACAGGTACTGGCCCTGATTTTTGCAGCCCAGTCTTTCCTGATCTGGTTCAAA